CCGTTCAGTCCTTTGAACGTTTGACTGGCAACCATTTCATATTTCAATCTCAGCAGAACAAATTGAATTAGATGTTGAAACCAAACTCAGCTCTGTTCACCAAAGCCTGCCTGCCCAGCTCGCGCTAATCCCTTCCTAGACACCGCGGAGCACAGACGGGCGTGGGAGGCCGGCCGGCCGCAAGACAAAAAAGCCGGAGGAGGCAGCAAAAGGGGGAAGACAGGCGGGCAGAGGCCGCTGGAAATTGTCTTCCGCCTGGGGCGAGGGTCTCCAAGGCTGGGGACAGACCCTCGTGTGGACGCAGTGTGTCCGTCCTGAGGTCCCTGGTGCCCAGCACAGCGCCTTGCACACAGGGCACCTTCTGAGTGTTTGATGAATGAATGAAGGGGGTGAGGATGAGTGGCTGGCTTGAGGACTCGGTCTGCCAGCCTCTGCCTCTGGCCTGTGCCCCCTCCTCCTCCCCTTTCTGAGAAGCCACAAGCTGCCTCGTGCCCTCCCAGAGTTGAGACGCTTCCGCTGGAACCTGGGCTCCCCTGGTCTCACGATCCTCCACGCCAGCCCCTGCCCAGCGTGCAAACCGGCCGGAGGGTGCCAGCTCGTTTCCCAGAGGGAGGCAGCCCTCTAGGCCTGGCCCGGGCCTCCACTACACACCCAGGGATCACCCCACGGCGAGGGCCTTTCTCTAAACTGCTCAAGTCTGTGGCCTGACCGAGAAGCGCTGACCCAGGGGCCCGAGTCTGGCTCTCAGAAAAAATTCTACGGTGGCAATGGCGTCCCTGCCCACGGGTGACACCCAGGATGGCAAGGGCTAGGAACAAAGAGCAACGCCAGGGCATCGCTCCAGCAGAAGGGGCTCGCCTGTTTCCCAACTGCACCTCGGCCACCATTGCTCCTGGGCCTGGCTTTGTGCAACAATAACTGGGTAAATGACGTGCCTGCTCTGGGCAGGCCCCCCCAGGCCACCTTCCTGGATACAGGGACTCCTTTCTGCCAGACCCACCTCCTGGTGACTCCCAGTCTTGCCTGTGCCTCCAGCAGGCCTGTCACACACACGTGGGGGTCTGACTTCCTTGGGCATTCGCTGGGTTTAGCCCCATAACCTTTCTTCTTTGTTACATAATAGTAATAACAATGAAGATGACTACCATCTATATTCGGCGTCACTAGGCACGAAACAGCCTGCCAAGTGCTTTCCATCCATGACCTTCTATTTAATCTTCAGAAAAACCCTATGAGGCGGGAAGTCTCCTGCCCATTTTAAAGATGGAAATCAAGGCAGAGATGCTGAGACCCTTGTGGGAGGTCACAGAGGCGGTGGGCACTGTCTGTGGGTGCAATCGGGCCTGTGCGTTCTGCCTTCCCCCTGCGGCGCCCTCACTGTCACTCAGCTCTGCCCCTCCTGTCTGACCGCGTCCCCTCCCGCAGGCTGACTGTGCGTCCTCCTCACCCGTCCACGGGGCTCTGCACAGCACTCTCCTCACCTGGCCCAGGGGCCTCGGCTGCCTCTCCTCCTCAGGCCGGGCCCCACATTCGGAACACTCCGTCCTACCCTTCAGGGCTCTGCGGGGGCCTCACGCCCTCGGCTCACCCCCCCGACCACCAAGCTTCTGCAGTTCCTGGGTCCCCATCTGCTCGGCCTTCTGGAGCCCCATGCGCACAAATGGCCAAACTCTCGCCCTCCCAGCTCTGCTTCTCGGCCCCTGCACCCGGCCAGCACCGCCTCCTTCCTGCCATCCCCAGAAGATGCCCCGTATCCTCGCCGTGCCTGTCCCGCAGTTCCACAGAGCGACTTCAGGAGGAGAACTAGTTACAAGGGAGCTGGAAGACCTGAGAGCCGGAGGCCCGTGGGTGACCACACCCCCGAGGAGGAGGCCCTCAGGGAGGCGGTGGTGTTAGCAGGGCCCAGGGCTGGAGCCTCGCCCAGGACGGAGGGAGGAGGGGAAGGCCCGGGCACCTCTCCTCCACCAGCACCCAGGCGCCCGCTGGTGCCCACCTCTGCTACTGGAAGCCTGTCGGCAGGGGAGCCTGGAAAAGTCGACCCGTGGGGGTCAGGGCAGGCGGGCACACAGCGGGGTCCAGCCCCGACTCTGCAACAGCCTGGCCCGGTCTCCCCCGCCACCCGAGCCCCGCTCCTGAACACCCCGGGCCCCCAGGCCTCATCCAGGGGCAGGGTCCCGCTGACCCCTGTGGTCCCCGGGCCTCTCCGCATCACCTCTCCCGTCCCGGGCACCTGCTCTAGTCCACCTGCCACCACGTTCCCTTCCCAGCTGTCTCCCGGCCATCTGGGGGCCACAGGCCCTGAGGAATGGAGGAGCCTGTATCCTGCCCCAACCAGTCCACACGCGGACCCCGGGGGGCTCTCCTGCCTCAGCCACCACCTCCGTAGTTTATTCTGGAATTGCTCTCCTAGATCTTCCGGTGGTTTGGACCGCTGATGTCCCGACATCACTTCAGACTCCACCGAAGCCCCCACCCCACCCCGTGGGGCCGACAGTGACTACCTGTCTCCCCGCGGCCCCGGCTCAAGGCCGGAGCCCCCCCAATTCACCCCGAACACCGGGTGGACGGATTTCTCCTAGATGCGGCGGCCCCGCCCTGAAAGGGGACAGATGGGGCCTCTGCTCCGGGCCAGGCTAGTACTCTCCCTAGCTTTACCTGGTTATGACCTCCCTACGCTTTACTTCCTTCCAGAATAACGATGGTGACGATGATGACGACAGTAATAAAAACTACGACAGCTTCAGAAGCTCGTGACTGTCTAAAGCAGCTGTTATTTTCAAAGGGGAAGGGACAGGGATGTCTGAGACAGGGCCGTGGGGCGGGTCTGGGCGTGCGAGGGGAGCTGAGTCTGGCTACTTCCGATGAAGGGGTCAGGGACTGTCCCTCTGAGGAGGGGAATTTAAACTCAGATCTCAAAGGGGAATAAAAAAGGAGACAGTCAGGAAACATGTGGGGAAGAGTGCCCCAGACAGAGGCAAGGGCAAGTGCAAAGGCCCTGAGGTCGGAGGGAGCTGGAGAGGCCCGAGTGTGTAAGTGAGGGGTGAGGGGCAGGGTCAGACGAGGCAGGCCTTCCTGTCGGGTGAGAAGTGGACTTGATTGTGTGTGTGGAGGGCCCTGAGGATTTAAACCACAACTGTCAGGATCCAGTTCATGGACTCAGCTGGATCCCTCCGGCTGCGTGTGCAGAAGGCAGTGTGTGCAGAAGGCAGTGCTCCTGGGGGAGGAGGGAGGGAGGAGACGAGGGTGGCGTCTACAGTGGGCGTCCACGAAAGCCAGGTGTGGCATGAAGGTGGGGTGATGGGGCACCCCGAGATCTCTACGGGAGTCGAATCGACTACTCCTATTTGCTTATGGCTCCCCCTCCCCCGTGTCTACACAGGGAGCCCCCGGGGTGGGGGCACAGAGGCCAGGCGGGGGCAGGAAGAAGGGAAGGGGACGTGGTCTCCCGGCTTCCTTTGTCCCCAGGCCTGGTCCCCAGGAGTGGCTGGTAGCCCCCTCCTCAGCCATCAGCTTGATGGGCAGGCCATCAACTCCGTCACCCCTGCTGTTGCTGAGCCTCCTCTGAGAAGGCAGGAGAGCACGAAGGGTAAAGACCAGAGTCTCTGGGGTCAGATCCACGTCCTGCAGGCGCCCGAAGCTCTCCGGGCCTCACAACGCCCTGGGACGATGGACACACTATTAGCATCTGCCCATTTTAAAGACAGGAGACTGAGGATTCGGAAGGTTAGGCCCCTGGCCCAGGCTCACGAGGCTGGTGCGTGGTGGACCACTATCTGGAACCCAGGCTGGTCTGAACGCAGAGCCCGAGCTCGGCACGCCGACACCAGGAGGTGGCGAATCCTGCTCTGGGCATGTTCTGGTACTGTCATCTGGTCAGGGAAGTTGGTGCCAACGATGCCTCCTTCTGTGCCAGGCCCATGGGTCTGACGATCCCGTATTTGGTGACCAGGGACCATCCTCCAGCTCCAGTGGTGTAGAAATGTGAGCACGAACTGTGTGTTCATGCAGAAGGACCCACGTGCCCCTAAACAGGACGAGCAGTGGAGAGGAACGGGGTGGACCCAGCGCTGTTATGCCTGAGACCCATGGCAACGTGGGAGCCTGCTCACCGGAGGGTCTGCCCTGGGTGAGATTTAACATCGACCCCACCATCCAGCCCCTGCCAGAGGCTGCGGTCACCTGAGGCCGTGGGTCACCCCTCTGTTACTTCTCAGGGACGAGCCAGGAGGGACTAGGATGCAACGCCCCACAGGAATTGGGGGTTCACTTAGCCTCTCAGGGCTGCCAGAGCCGAGGAGCCTTGCTTGGGGTCCAGGGCACTCCGAAAACTGGATGGAGACTGGAACCGCCTTCCAGAAACCCCTGGCACAGACCAAGCCTTACTCACATAGTCAAAGCTTCCTGGATTTGCACCTGGAGCCCCGCCCAGCCTCCCAAATGGTGGAGGAAACCACAGGGCCGATGGCGTTTCCTCTGGGCTTTACTTGGATTGGCTGACTCAGTCCAAGCACCGTCTCTGAGGAGGCACAACCTCACCCCCATCTTACAGAAAGAGAAGCTGAGGGTCAGAGGGAACCTCACTGGTCCAAGGACACAGCTGGGAAGGCTAGGCCAGGATTCAGATCCAGGGCAGACGGCTGTAGCTCCTTCCTCTCCACCATCCTGCCTCCCGGCGTCTGCTGGGCACAGGCCCTCCCCATGGGGGAGACTCATCTCCAGGCTGGAGGAGGTGCGCGCACGCAGGTGCCCCAAGACTGGGAGAAGCCTTGGGACATCGTTTGCCAGGGCTGGGGACCTCGATGCATTTCACAGGGCCCCCAGCCTGTGAGCAGAGCGCGTCCACCATTAGCGACACAGCTGAGCTCAACGCATGTCTGGGCTCAGAGCTCAGGGTGTCATGAGCAGCCCTGTGGCCGGCGGGGACGGAGGAGGATGCCCTGGTGACTAGACCAGGGCTCACAGTCCCAAGTGACGAGGATGGGGCAGCAGAGAGGCCAAGGCCCCAGCTGTGAGCAGTCCTCAGTCAGATGCAGGTGTGAACTCCAGCTCAGCAGCCCTGGAGGGGAGAGCAGGAAGGGAAGCTTCTGGAGCCTGTCTTGCACTCTCAGCACCGTGCCCAGTGGTTTTCATGGGTTACACATTTTCCTTCTCACTAAAGCCCTACGAGGTGGGAACCAGTTAGAGAGGAGGAGATGGGCCCAGGGAGGTCAGGTGACTGGGCCGGGGTCCCCAGCCTGCTCCGGGTGGAGTGGGGCTGCGAGCCCAGACAGCCTAACTCCAGGGGGCTGCTGTCTCCCCTGGTGCTATCGTGCTCCTGGGATGCGGGCCATGGGGTGCGAGGGTCCTCGCCCCCATGCAACTGCGCACCCTGGAGTGGGTCCTGGAGTCCCTCTGTACCCCGACCCTCCCACCAGCAGGATGGGGCCCAGTCTGCTGGGAGGAGGAGGATGGGGGAACTTATGGGGGAGCAGCAATCGGCCGGCCGGGCGTGAGGTGGGGTGGTTTTTTCTTGCTGCTTCCAGGTCCTCGAGCTGCATGAGGGACATCCTGACATGGTGGCTGTGCCCTGCCCTGGCCCTCACCGCCGGGCACAGAGCGAGGCATCCGAGGCCCAGGATGCCGGGCGTGGGGCAGTGGACGGAGGCCATCGTCCCCTCCGACCTTGGACCCTAGGAGGGTGGGGCCCCGCGCAGCGGCTCTGTCCCCCCAGCCCACACGGTAGGGAGCGCGGGAGCCAGAGCGGCTGTCCCGTGGGGCCTTGGAGCCACGTACCGCTGGGCGCCAGCTCACAGCTGAAGGGCCTGCTCCTCGCCGCCGTCCTCGCCGTCCTCCAGCTGCTCCAGGATCTCGTCCAACACCGCAGACCGCTTTTTCTTCGGGGGCTCTGCGGGGGCCCAGATGGCAGGAGAGGAGGGAAGAACAGTGGGGGGAAGGGGTGGGCAGGAAGAGAGAGACGGGGAGAGGGAGGGAGGGAGGGATGAGCGACATGGAGCGGGGAGACGGGAGGGAGGGAAGTGGTGGGAGAGGAGAGGAGAGACAGAGGAACCAGAAAAGGTGAGAAATGGAGGAGAGACTCAGAGGAGGGGCGGGAGGAGGCAGGGGAGGAGGAGAGAGAGGAGAAACACCGCCCGTCAGTCTCCAGCCTCGCTGGGGGCTGCCTCTCCCGTCCAGACACTCTGCTGCTCTGCTCGGTGGCCGCCCCTCCCATCTTCACCCAGAGGGAAGGATTCCGCTCCACAAGGGAGGGAGGAAGCCCCTCCCAGCAGCTCAGAGGGAAAGGAATCTCTGCCCGGCTGGAGCAGCTGAAAACCTTCAGAGGAGCTGAGTCAAGCGAGGGCAGCGGGTGAGGGAACAAGCAGAAGTTGTTCTGGTTGTCTTGGAGGTCACAGACTCCTAATGGTATAGTGGGTGGCTGGCATACAGTAGGTGCTCACTAAATGTTGGGTGAATAGAAGCTCAAGGATTCCAGGGGAGGCATGAGAGAGTAACAATTAGAGGCACCTTTAGAGAGGAGGGGCTATTTGACTCAGGCTTTGAAGAATGCAGAGGAGTTCTCTGTGAGGAGAGGGGGAAGGGGATGCAGACGCACAGCATGGCTGTATGAAAGGGCACGGTGGGCTCAGCAAAATACATGCCTTCTGGGGCCCAAACAGTACTGACTGAGTACCCACTATGCTACGCCTCTACTCCTCTCAGCTCTCCCACAGGTAGGTGGTGTTATCACCTCCCACAGGTGCGGGAACTGAGCCACAGACAGCGAGTCTAAGGTCGTGCAGCTAGGAAGTGGCGAAGCCAGATGGGAACCCAAGCCACACCACGGCCCACAGTCTTCCCACTTTGCACGGAAGTCTCGGGTGCTGACCAGACACTGCCAGGGAGACAAAGGAGGCAGCAGAGGGTGCGCTGGTCCCCTCCAGGAAGGGAATAGGGTGGGGGAGCCTGGGATCGGGGTGGGCCTGCCCTGTCAGTCCCTCTGCTAGTCTAACCACTCATCAAAGGTCAGCCTCACTGGCAGATAACGCGTGATCTGTACAGAGGCAGCTGTAGAGAGACTGTCCTCATTCCCTCTCCTTGCTGGCTCAAATGACGCCTCCTCTGTGAAGCCCTCCAGGTGGAACAGATGGCCTGAGACCCTTTGCCTCCATCTCCCCACTGGGCTGGGAGCTCCCCGGGGGCAGCGGGCACGTCTTTCTCACTTGGGTGTCCCCAGAGCCCAGCCCAGTGCCTGGCCCAGAGACGAAGAATTTCGGGTCTCTTCTAGGTGGTCTTGGGCAAGTGACCTGGCCTCTTTGAGCTGATTTCTCCATCTCCTGCCTCCAAAACCGACCGGACACTGACCCCTTCTCATCTTCCCCGTGGCTACCCACCCCATCCAGGCACTTCTCACAGACTCCCCACTCCTGCCCTCACCCTCAGGGCCCAGGGCTACACAGCAGCCTGAGGGATCCTTCTAGAACAGGTACTACTGCTCAGGGATCTCCACGGCTTTGCGACACATGGACTCCGCATCCCTTGGGCTGGCCCTCCCTCCAGGCCCGTGAAGCACGTGCCCACCCGAGACCTCAGCACCCGCAGGGCCCCGACCCCTCATCCAAGCCCCAGCTCCCGCGTCCCCTCGTCGGAGAGGACTCGCCTGACCCCCGTCCCCACAGTACCCCAGCCTCCAACCCCTGTGCTTCGCTACCCTTCTCCCATGGCCACCACAGCAGGTGTGTCTTTATTTGGGACGCTGCCCCGTTCTCTCTGTCCCCCACCCAGCGCACTGCCTGGGGTGCTCACTGATATCTGCCCAACGAGGGGAGGGGCGGAGGGAGTGGTCCGGGGTGGGGACCAGGAAGGTGTGGGAGGCTGTCCCGCCCGCCCGGGGAGCCTGGCAGCTGTACCCGTCATTGTTAACCACGGAAAGGGAGAGGGGACAGGAGGGCTGGGGGTGGGGTGGCTGCCTCCCCTCCCGTCCCCTCTCCCCTCCCGTCCGCTCTCCTCCCCCCTTGCAGCTCTCGGCTTCCTTACAGCCGCCAGGTCCAGAGCTACAATGGGCTCTGGAAAGTGACTTCGTGCGCAGGTAACAGGAGCCGGGACACAGAAGGGTGGCAAAGCAGGGCGTGCGCGCCGTCACTGGCGGCCCCTCCCCGCTCCTGGGACGGCGCGGGGCTGCTCTCCCGGGCCAGGGCTGGCCCGGGGTCCGAGGGGCGGCCGGTGGCGGCAACTGTTAGTTCTCACTTTTGCAGCATCTCCTCTGAGCACAGCTCTGAGACTGGCGGGGGGGCGGGGGCGGGCGGGGGGGTGTTACGCTTCTATTACGTGGCTCAACCTCAGAGACCGTTCTGGACCCCGAGCCCTTCTCCCCTCCTCCGCCAGGGCCCCCTCTGCTCAAGTCGCCGTCATCTCTGGCCTGTAGGACGGCCACAGCCTCCTCTGCCCTCCCTCCCAGGGTCTGGTCTCGAATGGCAGCCAGAGGAATCCTATTAAAACCCTCATGAGAGCATGTCGCTCCTTTGCCTAGACCCTCCACTGGCGCCATCTCACTGGGGAAGAGCTAAAGCTGTGAGGCCGGCCGCCAGGGCCACACGAGCCAGCTCCATCCCCTCTCTGAACTTTCAGTTACCACCCTCCCCTCACTTACTCTGCTGCAGCCACCCTGAGCCACTGCCTGGTTCCTGGCACCCACTTCTCCCACCGCAGGGCCTTTGCACCTGCTGTTCCCTCTGTCTGGAATGCTCTTCCCCAGGAAGCCACTCAGGACCCTCACCTTTTCGGTGAGGTCTCTGTGACCTCCTCCCTCCAATGCCCCCTTCCCTGTTCGTTTCCCTCCACAGCACTGGTCCCTCTGCGAGTACGTTCGCTTCCGTGGTTCACTGTCTGTCTCCCTCCTAGGACGTCAGCTCCAGCGGGGGGTGGGGGGGTGTTGTCCACTTCGCTCACTGCTCTATCCCCAGGGCCTAGAACAGAGCCTGGCACAGAGCAGACGCTCAATAAATATTTGCTGAGTGACTGACTGAATGAACGACAGGGAAAGACGAGGCTGCTAAAGAACACACAGAAGCAGAGACGAGGCCAGAGCAGCCTTCAACAACCTTCGTGCACATTTCCTTTACTTTATCTGATGGAGACGGTGGACCGCCTGCTCTGGGCTGCGCAGGATAGTGAAGGAGGCGGGCCTGGCCCCATCTAGGGTATTCCTGGGCCAGCGTGGGGGGATGGAGAAGGAACCAGACACCTGCAACTCAGGGCAGAATTAGCACCGTGATGGGGGGAGGCTAGGCTCCTGCTCCAGTGTTGGGCCACCAGGGCGGCTTCCTGGAGGAGGTGACAACGTAAACATGGCCGGAACCCAGCTGCCTCCCAGCTCAGGCCCTCTCCACACCACCTTGCTGGTCTAACCACTGGCAGGCGGCTATGCAGATGGCCTCATGGCATCGACCATCCTCTGAGACAGTGGGCACCTCCAGACCTCAGGCCCGGCCCCACAGGCACCAACCATGCTTGTCTCTGCCCGAGAGCTGGGCCTCGCTGCTTTAGAGACTGGTGAGCCAGCTCTTCTCCTGTGCTCGCCTGGAATGCCAGCCCTCTTCTCTGTCACCTTCCTCTGAGTCACCCCAGCTCCAAAGACTCTCTCCTCCCCTTTGGTCACTTAACAACCATTTAAAGAGCCAACACCTCGTGAGGCAGTGTGGGGGCTACAAGCTCCTGCCCGCGGGAAGCTCATGCTCTGAGCACCTGCACAGGCGCCCTAGTAGAGTGAAAAGATCCCGCACCACCCAGAGCCGGGTTCCCATCCCGGCCCTCCCCTCCCCCGGTGGGACCTCGGGTGGTGACTTCACCTCTGGAGCCTCTGCCCCGTCTTCTGGGACAGGCGGCTCTGCCAATCCCGCAGGAGGCCCAGGAGAGACGGACACGAGACGGGTGACCGCTGTCCTCTGCGCCTCGCGCTCAGCTGGCACTAACCGCATTTGGGATTACTTGTGTACGTGTCCCTTTTACATTCTCATTTTTTTTTTTCTTTATGGTGAGGAAGATTGTCCCTGAGCTAACGTCCATGCCCATCTTCCTCCATTTTGTACGTAGGACGCTGCCACCGCATGGCTTGATGAGCGGTGTGTAGGTCCACGCCTGGGATCCGAACCTGCGAACCCTGGGCCGCCCAAGTGGAACGTGCAAACTTATCCACTATGTCACCAGGCCAGCCCCTACATTCTCATTTTTCAGTAGGTGGTGCGGGCACAGGGATGTTCCAGAGGAACGAGGGTATATCGTGAAAGGCAGACCTGCCCTCCGCGGCTGCGCCAGGCCCATGGTGATTCCTACGGCAGCAGCCAGCCCAGGAGCGCCTGCAGGTGCTAACCGTGGCTCACCCTCCAGTGCCCCCAGTATCCAGCACGGGGCACCCGGGCAGCTGCTATCCGCAGAGCCTTCTAGAGAAGTGCAGCCCAGGATAACTCAGGCCCTGCTTGGCTCCTTGAGAGCCCCTTTGCCATCTGAACGCCCCGGGGACTGCACTGGCCTGGCCCCATCAGACTCCGAGCTCCGTGAGGGGGCTGGGTCTGTCTGTCTGTCTGCTGTGTCCCAGGGCCCAGCGCACAGTAGGTGCCCTGTAATCATCTGTTGAATGAACGAATGAATGAATGAATGAGGCCTAGGGCATCAAGGTGGGTAACTTCTAAAAAAATAAAACTGCTGTTGTCGGGATAGCAATAAAACAAATAGCGTGGCAGAGCTGGGAGGCACCTGCGACATCATCTGGCTGGGGAAACTGAGGCCCAGAGGCAGGGGGAGGCCGCCAGAAGAGGAAGCACGCAGGACGCGCACTTCACAAGCAGCGTCTCATCTGAGCCCCACAGCGCCTGCAGAAGGCGGGCGGCACCGCCCCATGGCGCGGGCGGGAAG